GGGTTGCCGGACATGGTATTGGGCCTGTCTGGCAACATTCCCGCTATTGGGGCCGCGAGTGGGCGACGATTTTGTGTCGGCATGCCCAATATGTCGTTTTGGGCACCCTGAGCTCGCCAACGAAAATACATCGACCGGTGCTATTGTTGGCCATGGTTCACCATCTGTTGACTTCTGCAGCTCCAACTAAGGGCGGCGCTACATCATGCTACCCCGGTGGAACTTCTTTACTAGCGAGATACGGTGATGCAATTAGCGCGTGCACCAGGTACGACAAGCACCAGTGCACCATGTATGCACCCAATTGTAGGGTTCAATGAGATACGGGATGGAAGCAACCCTAATTGCCCAATTATCCACCTAATGGTAAATTTGTTTCTTTAATCTACATCGATTCTTGGAAAAAGCGGTGCATTGGGAGGCCTTGCATGCCGAGGTAGTTTGCATGGGTTTTTTCTTACAGGAGAGAACATGCATGCATGTAGGAGAGCTCAACCTTAATATCATTAGGGAGCCGTTTATTCCGCTAAATTTTAGTATCGATGAGGGCTCCAAAATTAGATTTCGTGTTAATATGTTCCGAAAAATATTTTATACACACCAGTTAGTAGATTATGGTACTATGGCTATCGGATTAGCAGCGACCAATTACTATGATATTTGTACATAGTTACTAGCTTAATGTTTACACGTTTGTGGACATATGCAAACACAGCACATACCGGGTTTGTCGGGAAAAAAATCCGGCATACTCCTTCCTTTCCGGTTTATAGGGCTTATCTTAAAATTTTAGTTTTTCCATTTTATAAGGCTCAATTTAGTTGTTTTCCATCACATGTTCAGATTTCAAAGTGCATTAAATCATTGCATGCAAGTATTAAGAGAAAATTGACCAATGCATGCATGCATTGCAATTAATGCATTGGTAAACATACTTTTTTGAGAAAAACAAGAACATTAATTGGGTGCTTTTGCAAACTACAAAAAGTATTCCACCACCCACCATCTACCTTTGTTGGTGAGATTTTTGAATTGAGCCTTATAAACTGGAAAGGAGGGAGTACCAGTTACCGGATTATAATGCTATGGTTGCCCGATTAGCAGCAAATAGTTACCGCGAATGCGGGCTACATAACATCCAATTTCTTCCCGCGTGGGCCTGGTTTGGCCTCATGTAGGCAACCAAACACGTGCTTACACAACGCTGTCTTCATGTGCCACGCCAGTCTGACAAGTGGGCCCCACTGTCAGTTTGGAAGTTAATTCACAGTCTTTGATGTTTAGTGTTTTTGCGAAAAGACTAAAAAATCAGTAGTTTTCTATCCCGAAAATATAAATTTGGCCCAAAAAGTGATGGTTTTATGTTAATAACTCCCCCACAAGTTGTCCACCGTCTCAACTAATCTTCACCAACACGACCAGGCTCGAGTTGGCCGCCACATGTTGGAGGGGAGTGCTGCAGCGTGGTTACGCTACGATTTATGGAGACATGGGACGATGTCATAAGAGCTGAACTACCCAAGCTAGAAAAATAACTACACGTCACAACCTCACACTCAGTCTATTATTTATAAGGAGCAAGGTTAGCTTTTTTTATCATTTTATTCAGTCTTCGAATGCAGTTCGCTTTAGTTCAGTTTCCTACCATATTTCTACATGGGAATAGAAGGCATCAGGAATTATAGATGAATACTCTCTGAATTTTTTTGGTGTTCTGGGCCTTTTCACCATAGGACTTCCCATTCGTATTGTTATCATTGGTACTCTTACTGATGCTCAGTACGATGCTTTCAAAGTCACAACCTGGAAGCTGATTGATGTCGCTCTCTGCCCCATGGAATTAGCAGTGAAGGTTCGTGTGCTGACACAACCTGTATTTGCTCATGGGTTGAGTGATGGGCTCCGCAAGTTCGTCAAAGCTGAGGGTGCTGCTGGGTAAGTAAATCTACCAATTGTCTGAAGATAGTTTTTATTAAAAAAAATCATATCTGAGGATCTTCATAATTTCCTACTCGTTTCCTGATTATATCCCTAAAATTTCTACTGGTTGTTAATGGCAGGTTTACAAGGGAAATGTTCCTCTCTGGGGTCGCCAGATTTATTGTATATCGGAAAACCTGTTCCACGTGCCACTATGTGCCACTTTTTTATCCAACCCTAACAAACATTACAAATGGCAGAAGATGACATTACGCATAGATCCACTCCAATGGACACCATCGCTCTGATTGGAATTTAACGTGAATGCAACAGGGAAAAGTGATGTGCATTCAAACTTAGTGATAATTGTTAGATGTCGCACAT